CTTACAAGCTTTCAAGTGGGAGTCTAGTTCCAGATAGGGCAGGGGTAGGCAGAACCACCATTGAATGATTTCCGATATATTGGAACTGGGCTGGCGAAAGGAAATGGTGAGATGACTCTTGTGGTACAATAGTGAATAATTGCCATCAGGACTGAATGTAAGGGTCAGAAATGTAGAGGTAGATGTTTTTTGACAAAAGGAAGTGAGTGATTGATTTTGCAGGCCAGGAGCGGAGGTCCCTGGGGCCCTCAAGTGAGAAGAGCAGAGAGCGTGACACTACCTAGAGAGGCAGTGATGCCAGGGATGGAGACAGAGATGATGATGTGGACAGATGGAATGGCTGGGGACACTGGACTCAAGGAGGGAAAGGGGCTGTGTGCTGATAGCTTGGGGGGTGGGGTGGCCTGTGGGCTGTATCCTTTGGTTATTTGATGAAGCATGGAGGGAATTGTGATCATTGCAATTAAACTAAATATAATAGGATGAATGTAAAACTGATGTTCTCCCATGCAAACCCACATAATTTACTCAAAAACTTAAAAAAAAAAAACAACCAGAATATTAAATTATAGCTTCATTAGTAAAACAAATGTTTATACTACTTCATATCTGCAAATTAATAAACTTTATAGTTGATGGGGAAAAAAAGACCAAACCTATGGAACACAGTTCTACTGTGACACACATGGGTCACCATAAATAAATATCAATTGCAGAGCATCTGGCTTATTTAACAAATGAGAAAATTAAGCTTAGATGATATGCCCAAGGTCACAGAGCTTGACATAGTAGAGTTTGAATCCAATTTTACTGAAATTTTGTCTAACCCTTTTAAACTATTTCTTTGAGCATTTAAAGGATACTCAGAATTATCTAAAATCCCTACTAGGGTTGAGCTCTAGAAGATATAATCACTCAAAACTAATCATGCAGTATATAAATGGCTTGAAAAGCTATTTTTTGCATGAAGGAATCATTATTTTCCTAGATATGTTCCACTATTAAAAAAAAACACACAAAAAAAAAACTGGATGCCCCTTCTCTGATGTGTGAAAAAGGCAGACACTCCAAGTTACATCCCATTTGAAAGATGTATATAATGGTTGAGAGTAGAGAGAGGAGATTTGTATGGGACCGTAAAAGAAGGCACAATAAATTATACTAAATTACTTTATTTAACAGGAAGACATATGACATTATGGGACAAACATTAGCTAAGGTTTAGGTGACACATTTATCATTAGTTACCTAAACTGCTAAAGTCACCTCCTTTCTTCATTACCCACTCTCTATTTTGGAGTTCAAAAATAATGCAAAACTGTATATAATATTATAGAGTTTCATAATTTTGATGTTTATTTTTAATAATGTAAAATACAGGTTTTGTTGGAAGGAAATTGTGTAACACTACTAAAATAAAGATTTATCAAAATTTTAAACAATACCATAAAATAATAATGTCCTAAAACAACCTGCTCTGTTATGGTGTTATTAAAATTTGGAGATCACATGTTGTTGTTGTTAGGTACCTTCAAGATGGTTCTAATTTAGGATGACTTTATGCACAACAGAATGAAACACTGCCTGGTAATGTACCATCTTGACAATTTTTGTTATTTTTGAACCCATTTTTTGCTGCAAAAATGTCAATCCAACTTCTTGGGGGTCTTCCTACATTTTGCTAACCCTCTACTTTTTCAAGCATGATGTCATTCTATAGGGATTGGAGACCAAGTCTAGCCACTGATTTTTTGACTGTTGCTTCCATGAGTGCTGATTATGGATTCAAGCAAAATGAAAGCATTTGACGACTTCAATTATTTTCCCATTTACCATGATGTTCTTTATAAGTCCTCTTTGTTTGCTTTACAGTGAAGTGCAAACTGTACTGGTCTGTGATCCTTGGTTTTCATCCATAAATATTTTAAGTCCTCTTTGTTTCTAGCTAGCAAGTCTGTATCATCTGCATATTGCAAGCTGTTAATAAATTTTCCTCCAATCCCGATGCTACCTTCTTGTTCATGTAATCCTGTTTCTCAAATTATTTGCTCAGTATACAGAATGAACAAGTATGGAGAAAGGAAATGATCTCTAAATGCAAGTGGGTTTTAATTAAAGTCTTCATTTTCAGCCTGAACTTGCATATGAGCTAT